CAGGTTTTGCTGTTTTAAGGATGTTGTTCCATCTTCTGGATCAAGAAAGACCATTCCTTTGCTTCTTCATTTAGCGTCCTGAGTCCAGTTTCTACCCCATCCGTACAGACAACTCTAGTCCCTCCGTCTCCACAACACTCCTGAGGTAAAAACCATGTATTTCCTCAGCACTACTGAGACTCACCAAAGTTGGCAGGTTTGTTCCTAGCTGGCACATTATAGTAGTCTAATAGAGTATACTGTGTGGTGGGTAGTGGTCTGAATGGACCAGATGATCCAATCATCACCATGGTGCTAGGAAATGTGTTCTGGTATTCCCATCCTTAGTTAAATGATTTGCCTGCGGTTACAAAGTTCAGGTGGGCAAACTTAGCTCTAAATCATTAGCCACTGTGACACCAAAGCTCTTACTTGCTCATCTGTCTACCTGTTTACCATCCTACTGTCCGTCCACCTCATGTTTCATAGCCTAGTATGCACTAAGCACTAAGATAGGAGTACAAAGATGCATCAGGCATAGTCCCTCTCCTCCTTCTCAGGGTCCCTGGGACACAGTGAGTCACCCGTCTTAAGTTATAACCTACACATTGAAAAAAATTAAATAGAATTTATATTAAAATCCTTGCAAATAAATACAAAGTGTAACACACCAAAATCAATGAGACCCAAATTTTATACAACTTAACAAACTTATATCTGTTTAGAATTGGTATTCAGAATGGAAGCTATAAAACTTACATTAAATTTCTCACTTTCAATATCAAGTAGATTTTATGCACTTATCCAACACCAAAAAAATGAAAGATCCATGACAAGATTCAAACTAGAAAAACAACTTTATATTCTTTATTATAACTTGTCTTCTTATGAGCATTCAGTCCTTTCTTATCTCCTAGGTCTCAGTTTTCCTTGCTCTTGTTCCTTCTGCCATATATTTGTATATACACACACGCATATATATATATGTGTGTGTATATATATATATATATACACACACACACACACACACACACACACACACACACACACATATTTGCCTAGATTCTATACTGTTAACTACTGGGAAAGCAAAGCTTTTATTTGGTTATCCATTCCCCTATCCCCTATCTGTTTGTCCATCCTTCTATCCATCTACCCGTCTGTATACCATTTGTATGCCTTAACCTATTATGAACCTAAGCTAAAAGTTCAAAGATGCTTAAAAGCATGTTCCCTTGCCTCACTGTTAGAGTCCCTGGGATGAAGCCAGCCGAACTGAATCGGTGAACTCAGGTTCAGGCAGGGACCCTGAGACCCTGTTTCTAAATATAAGGTGGAAAGCAATTGAGGACGATACCTGATATTGACCTGTGGCTTCCACATGCCATTTAGACCTATGTGTACATGCACATATGAACACACACACACACACACAATGGGGGTGCGTGAGGAAGATGGATCATGCTGGTAGCTGTACCATCCTCACGGGCATGTGTGGCGGGACTGGCGGGAGAGGCCAGGCCTGGGCCTATAGGCTCAGCTAGACTTCTGATTACAGCTGAATCTTGTCCTGGTTCCTGTGACTGGGGCTCTAATAATACTGTTAATGGGGCCCTGGGGAAGACCCAGGCAGGGTCAGAGCAAATACCCCGTATCCTCATCACCCAGGAGCTCAGGAATGCATGGCATCCTCACCTGCCCAAGTCCTTCATCAATTAGCCTGGAGCACAGGCATCTGCATTCTATAGGCATCTGCAAGTCTTTGGGCAGAGAGAGTCTTCCAGATCCTTTCCCCAGACTGTAATTGCCCTGAGGCTGCAGCTCAGGAGCCTGCAAGGACCTCTGCTCCTCACAGCTATTGGTCTGTGAGGAACATAGTCCTCTGTTGCAGGCTGGATTTCCACTAACAAATCCACAAAACTTCCCTCGCTGAAGTGCTTCCAGGTCACAGGTAGCCTTTTTCATTGCCCCATCTGAGTATGCTGGCCCCACCTTGCTATTGACACCCCAGGGAGGTGAGCCTCAGAGGACAGCAGTAGCAAGTTACACCTCAGAGAAGCAGTTCGGCAGCTATGCAGCCTTGCCCTTCGATCTTTTCTCAGTATTTCACTGTGGGAAGAAAAAAATCCCAACCCAAGGTGCTTCAGCTTTGAGGAAACTAAGAAAGGTCACTTCTCAGGATGGCTGGGGAACCTCAGCAACCCTGCTTGGTTATTCCTGGATCACACCCTCACCACCTGGGGTCTCATTCAGAGGGCAAAACTGAGCCTTGGGGAAGCCAGGGGTGGAGGGCGTCATTTTCCCATCATGTTATCCATGAGCCCTCAGCTGTATCCTCAGTCTCCTTGGAGCTGAAGGGCAATACTAGGGCAGGACGTGTGGGTGATGAGTGTCATGGGACAGGTGTGGAGACAGAACCCTGCCTCCAGAGCAGAGCCCCCAGCTCAGACAGCCAGGCTGGGCTACCCTAGCATCCTCACTTGGGGCCCTTTGCTTTGGCCAGCTGCAGCCAAAGAGGCTCACAGCTAGTCCACTTTCTGCCTCTGGCAGCATGGCTGGCTTCGTGGTACCGTGGCTTGAATGTGTAGTTTGTTTTTCAAGGTGACAGTCGACTTGTTTGTGTTCCACTCAGCTAAGGGGAAACACTGTTTGGTACCCGTGGCCGTTCAAATGCTTTTCTAGGTAAAAGTGGAGAAGCCTACATTTCCTGCTGCCTCGGGCTAAGTAGGGGATGTGTAGATGATGGCAGTAGCGGACTGTGACACATGGGCTCCCTCGCTCCCTGCCTCAGTTTCCCCTTGTGTACAGTAGATCATTGTTCAGATTCGGCTACCTGGAAGAAGGATCAAAATGGGCAGAAAGCAAACTCTGCTGGTAGCAGGGATCTGTGAGGTACAACGGAAAATTCGGGCAGCGTTTCCTTTGTGAACTGGAATCAGCAACGTTCAGGGACTGTGAGGCTTCTGGGCACCCCAGGGTGCCCTGGGAACCTGGCAGGATTGCCATAGTTGCGTCTAACAAGAAATAGGCATCATGTCCTCCTAACCTGGATCTTTCCCTCCCTCTTGTTTAGCCGTCTTTTACCTACCACCCGTCTCCTTTCTCCTCATGATAGTCAGAAAAATGCAGCTGAGACTAGATCTTGAAGCTTCATCATAAACTTCACTGCTGTGGTTTTTTTTCTTGTTTTTGTTTTTAGAGGGGAAGGGGAGAGTTTTGTTTGTGTTGATCTCTTGGACCAGATACCTGTAGCAGAGGCTGGAGGTATCCAAAGGCACGGGGCAGTCATGCGTTCTAGATGTGGAAGAAGGGGAGAGGTTCCAGAACTTGCAGGGCTCAGTATGCTGTCCTCCATCCATGATGCCTATTCCTGCTCCCCTTCAGGCAGGGAGTGGAAGAGCCCTACGTTCTGGAGAGCTGAGCTGGCCACTTTCACGGGGTTGTGTTGGCAAGAGCCTGCCTGCTGCTCCCCAGATGCCTCTTGCTCGGGCTGGATTTAAGCCTTTATAAAAGCAACACCTTGTATTTTATTTCACTCCATTCTCAGGAAGGTCCAAAGATGTTTACAGGCCTGAGCCTGATCGGCTTTATGGTAGCTCATCAAAAGGCAGGGACTGTGTCCTCCAGCTTTATAGTATGGGAACTAGAGAGCACAGGACAACAGAGTAACTCTTTTGAGGTCATACGGTGACGTTCCATAATAAGTTCCCAGCACCGTCAAGAAGCCCGGACCAACCAGAGCTGCTTGAGAGAAGTGTGAGAGCTCTCATCAGCCACTGGAGAGGTCTTTACCCTCCTGGGCATAACAGAACCCAGAGGGGATCCCCACTGTTGCATGGGGTCCCCTATATTGGAAGTAACTGTAAGTCTGGCATGTAAAGGGTATATAGACTGAGTGGAAAGACTGAGAAACTGGCGCAGGGACCCCTTCCTCCTGATCCCTGGAGGTTATATTTTCTTGGAGTCTAGAGAAAAGTTGGGTCATTTGTATCGCAGGCTGTTGAAGAGCCTCCCGTTTAGAAAGTGCTCGGCAGTGTAGACTGGTTTGACAATGAGATGTTTGGGGAAGCCCAAGACCAGGTACCTTCCTTCTTAATGGCTTTTCTTTTTTTTTTCTTTTTTTTTAAATATTTATTTATTTATTATGGATACAGTATTCTGTTTGCATATATGCCTGCTAGAAGAGGACACTGGACCTCATTACAGATGGTTGTGAGCCACCATGTGGTTGCTGGGAATTGAACTCGGGTCCTTTAGAAGAGCACGCAATGCTCTTAACCGCTGAGCCATCTATAACTCGCATGACATCAGGCTGTTTCTCAGGCGATTATCCAGGGGGTCCTTTGATGTGGGGACCTTGACTCACAGATCCTGTTCAGGGGAAGGTTGCTATAGTCCTGACAAGGCTACAGCTGCTCCTCTTCACTGTGCTCTAGGAGACGGGAACCCTGAAAGCAGCAGCCTGGGCAGATACAAGCTTTGCTCCTTTGAACCCTTGCCCTTTGCCGATCACTTGGGTGTGTCTCTGTGCTCCTGTTGGCCACACTTTAAGTGTCCAGGCTTCCTTCTCTTCTCTCAAGCCCTCACGAGCACATCGTCTCCAAAGTCGGTGTTTAGACACAGTCATGGAGGTTGCTTCTCTCTTACACCAGAGTCCAGGGGTTGGTAGCCCATGCAGGGTGCTAGCCCCGAACTTTCCATGCGATGGTGGAGGTGGACAGTCAAGTGCACTAGGCTAACACTTAGTAGGGGTACAGGAGACGCAGTGGTATGGGTGAGAAGCACCTTCCAGGGTCTGCGCTGCTATCGGCTTGCAGCTGTCTACCAGGGGAATCAGGACAAACCATTCCTCTACTGCTGAATGTCTCATGCAAAAAGTAAATAAATAAATAAATGGAGATTTGGAACAAATAGTCTATTGCTATTGCTAAGGAGTCTTCTAGTTCCAGCGTTTTCTACCTTCCCCCCCTTTCTCGTGTCCCCCCATGCTCTTTTCTAATTTTCTCCCGTTTAATTTTCAGCTCCTAACCATTGATGACAACTTCTGTGGCCTGGATATGAATGCCCCTCTGGGAGTGTCTGAAATGGTACGTGGCATCCCGGTCTTCACGGAGGACAGGGACCGCATGACTTCCGTCATCGCGTATGTCTACAAGAATCACTCTCTGGCCTTCGTGGGCACCAAAAGTGGCAAGCTAAAGAAGGTAGGAATGAGGTGCGGTCGTTTTGACTGCTGTGCAGACTGTCTGTCCCTGCAGCGTCTCACTGTCGTGGGCCTGGAAGACAGATTTGAGGAGACACTCGTTGTTGAAGTCGCGTGTCCTTTCTCTGCCTTCATTTGTAGGTTGTCGTGGGAATTGAGCTGCATGAGTGGGTGGATTCACCCTTGCCGAAAGCTGGCGTGCACATGAGACTTGTTAGCCCAGCCTTGCTGGTGGTTCCAAATGGTTTATTCTGTTCCGCTTGGCCTGTGCCCTTAGGCAAGGGCTCTATTAAGTCTAGGTGGCTGGAGAAGGTGGACTGGGCGGGGGGGAGGGCTGTGCCTGTTCCCCTTGTTCCAGCCCTTATGGGCTGGTGCCTCCATCTGGAATCCATTCAGGGAACAGATGGAGCAATGTGCAGACCTGCTTGAGAGCGGCTAATGGGGCTAAGAGCCAGCTTGCTCAAGGAGAACGCCATGGCTACAATGGAGACACAGAAGTGGCTTATGGATGGATGGAATCGTAGGGTCTGGGAACTTGACCTGTGACCCTTGTCTTGGCACAATGGGCAACCTTGGCCCTCTGGCAGCATTGGCTATACTTGGCCATTCAGAAATATTCTCAGCCATGGATCCTTAAGGGAGGTGGAAGTGGTCTATTGTGAGCTATCTTTGATGGGTTAGGTCTTCTAACTCCGGAAACCAGAGGTCCTGCTTTCTGTTGGCTGGTTATTAGTTGCTCTTTAGTTTGTCTTATGTAGGTTTCCCTGGCATTTTCCAAACATTGTGAGATTCAGACTAAGTAAAATAATGATGACTGAACCTTGATCCCTCCTTTGATGTGTTCTTGGCATTAACTCTGAATGGTCATGAGTACGTATTCTATGCAAGTTTAGAAGGCTGTGTCTATTCTACCGTCTTACTACATAACACCACAATCAATAAATACGCTTTCATGTGGAGTTAGTATTCAAGCAAAAGTTGTATATCTGGAATGTAGCAATATGGAGGGCATATGAGACAGGATCAGGAGCGAGTGGTGGGTGTATAGATAATTATTGAATATCTGGGAAATACAACAGGAACTACTGATTGAGTGCCATGATGCTTAGAAGAAAGCACACGTGGTACTGTGTGCCTAATCTCACACCTCGTTTCCATGTCCTGTCTTCACTACCATAGCTGAAGGATAATCTACCCATTGTCTGTACATCCTCAAGAATTATATTTCCTGGGTCCCTGCCCGTTTTGTGTCATGCATTATGAAATCCCTTCTCACTGGCTCTCCAGAAGGGTTCTGTTTTCACTATTATTCATTTGCTGGAAAGGTGAGTTCTAAATCCCAGAGTCATGTTATAGTTTGGATCATCTGTGAAATGCTTGGCCCTGCCAGAAGATGAAAACTTTCGGAGGTGTGGAATAGCACAATGCCCCGTGGTCATCAGGTCTTGCCCTTGAATGGAGTGGCCTGATCCCATACCATCATTTCTCTCTGCCTGCCTCTCGCTCTTTGTTTTCCTCGTTTGCTTCCCGACTTCTGCTGTAAATTCTTTCCCCATTGCGTGCCCCTGCTGTCATGTTGTGTCAACTTACATTCTCCCAAAACAGTGAGGCCAAGTGAAATTAAACTGGAACCTTCTAATTGTGAACACTTTCTGTCTTTATAAGTCAATTGCCTTGTGTATTTTGTGATAGAGCTAAGTCACTGTCCAATACAATCACCATATACAATTCATGCCATGACGGGTCTATTGTCTGGCTCCATCCGCTCCCACAGGGGGAATAAACACTATGGAGAGTAAGTCCACAAGCACTTTGGGGTGCTTTCACTCCTTTCTCTGGTGAGCCCCATATTAGTACAATGAAGAAGCTTCTTTCTTCACCCTAAAAGACTGTTACCCATGGAAGCTCAGACTAGCTGTCCAGACAGAATAGCCTCTGGATGAAGGGTAATTTTGTGTCATTTCTGGAGTTGTTTAGACTGTGTCGCCAGTGACAGGAATGTGGAGAGTTCTTTGCACATAACAGAACAGACAGTTATTGGTAAAAATATACTTTTTTTTAGACTCGACTACTCTGTAAATCTGAGATGATTTAGAACAGTGCAGAAGCCTGTCCCCTGCCACTGATATTCAATATCACACCACTCCATGAGAGGATGTAAGCACACCCCCAGGAGCCTGTGTAAGCAAATGCATGGAAACCACCCTTCTGGGGAACTGTAGAGACACAGCCATGCTTGGGTGACAGGCAACACCTAATGGGAAACTTGGGGGCATTCTCAGCCACATGCAGACTGGCATTTCTCATCTTCCCCTTGGGTGGGTTTGTATAAGAACGGTCCAGCTTGAGCCACCCGAGATGTTATATTTAATTTCTAGAGCGGTGGTGTGGGGCTGGCGAGGCATAACTATTTGAAAGCTAGGGGTAGAGGTGTTGCATAGGGGGAATGAGCTGACCCTTCCCCTGGGCAGGGGCGGGGAGTGGGGGACGTACCACCCAGGCAGCCAAAGTTTCTGCTCCATGGGTTCAGAGTGGCAGCCGCTTTAATAGCTTTGCTCAAGCCTGGTGTCTGCTTCTGCAGACTCAGCACAGCCAGCCCAGGGGACAGTCTGGGCTGGAAAAGGAAAGCAGGACTGCCGTGTCTGTTGTTAGAAATAATAAAAAGTGAAAGTGGCCCATTTGTTTATTTTCCTAGACAATAGAATTTCCCACTGCCGGTAGCTCCAGGGCGCCACACCCCTTCCCATGCAATAACTCTGATTTGCTTTTTCTCAGAGGTTATCAGACCTGCTGCCACCTTTCTGGGCAGAAGCCCAGCCGTAGCTGGCTGGAGGCTGCTGCTGAACTTTGCAGCAAGTTTTGTGAGCCACCGAGCCCAGGGTGTGAAAATAATGACAATCATACAGCAGCCGTAATTACAGAGCTGGCGTCTTCTAGCCTGTAATAATCTCCTGAGTGTACAAGGGCCTTTCAGAGATCTTTGCCGCCTGACAAGGGACGTGAAGTGGGCAAGGTGGGCGGAAAGGGGCTCGGGTGGTTGCTGAGAGTAAGGGAAGTTGGCTGTGGGCTTTAGAGACCCAAGAGCTAGACTCCAACTATCCATAGGCTGCCCTCGAAATCACTGACTTTTCATTTTGTTTGAAAGGTATGGGTTCCAATTATTTGCAGCCTTGCCTTTGATGACCATAATTTCACTCTTCAAGTGCGCATCACATGAGGCAAGGGGAAAGGAGGTGAGGAAAGTGCCAATTTGGATGTCTTTTGTGTTCTCTGGTGTGTGTGTGTGTGTACGTGTGTGCGTGTACGTGTGTGCATTTGGAAGACTTTCCCTGTGGTGAACATAAAAGGCATGTTCTGTTAAGAAATCTGTCATATCAATGCCGAAATCATCAGGAGGTGCCCAGGAACTCCGAGGAACCCATAGCCTGTTAAAATTTCATCTGCAGGAAAAATCCACGAAGCAAACACCATCTTGACTTGCTTTAGGGTGTCTGTGTGAATGTTGGGGTATCTAGATTAAAAATCTGTTTGCTTAAATATCTCCGCCGCAGTCCTTTCTGACGCCCTCCCTTCACTAAGTGATCGTATTTCATAGCTGCTGATCAGCACTGAACGGCTGCCTGACAACAGAGGGAGAGACTGACGTTCCTCGTGAGCCACAACATCACAAACTTCCGCTGGAGGTGTGATCGCTCCTTTCATTCTGTGCTTGTGTTTTTTCCCAAGTGCTTTTTCTGCTGCCATACACTGTTCCTAGCTAAGGGGCGGAGCACTCACCAGTGTTGGTTAAACAGAGCGCTGGCTCTTTCTGCTCTGTGCCTGTATTCCTGTCGCTCCTGGCTGTGTTCAAATACCTGCAAGAAGCAACTTGACGGAGGCGAAGTTTCATCTGGCTCTTGTTTCGGGGGATACAGCCCAGCCTGGATTGGGAGGCGCAGCAGTGGGGTGGGGCCTGTTCGTGGCAGCAGATGACTGCTTTCTCACATCTCTGTGGATCAGGATAGAGAGAAAGGGGAATGCCGAAGCTCAGCATTCTGGTTTTCCTTTGATTTCATCATCTTTTGTTTCCTGGACTTGTTCCTGGGCCTTTTAGGGGGAAACCAGTCCCAAGTTGAGGTGGGTCGTGGGGACTCACACTAGGTGTGATTCAGAGCACAGTTTCTCGGGATTGAATGCTGTGTGCATGTGCGTGTGTGTGTGTGTGTGTGTGTGTGTGAGAGAGAGAGAGAGAGAGAGAGAGAGAGAGAGAGAGAGAGCACTTGAGCCAGTAGGGCCTCAACCACCCAGTTGTATCATATCTGAGGCTCCGGTTCTGCTTCACTACTCCCCAAATACACCTGGGAGTTCTTTTCAAATTCTAAACTCTGAAAATTTGAGTCTACTTTAATTAAAAATAAAACCAGGAGATTGGCAAAGTGTCTCAGAGGGTAATGATGCTTGCCATACAAGCTTGATTCCCTGAGTTCAGTCCCCAGGAGCCCACGTGAAGTGGGGGAGAACTGACTCCACACTCCACACATGCACCACGACATGTGCGTGTGGGCACACACATACACACATGCACACGTGCGCACACACACACACAACCCCCCAACTTTTAATAAATAAAATACAAAATGAACTCATACCATGTAGAAAGTGTCCGAATATCTAGTGCAGCCCTGTGTTGGGGCGCCGTGTGTTGACCAGGAGCAGAGTAGACATCAGACCTTGCTGATTCAGCATTGGCGGTTCAGCCTGGTTGTGCTATGTACTTTTCCGTCTTGAGCTGCTGCTATTGCGAGTATGCCTAAGTTAGGAACGAACAGAAAAGAAAAGAGCGCGGGAGGATTGGTACTGAGCCATTTCCCCAGTGGGAGGGGGGAGCCTCTGAGAAGCCTGCTGATTGTTGGCACTGTGCGTTTTACAGGTCTTAGTCTGGATTTTGCTACTATTAAACCTTAATGAGTTTTAACCTATGCTTTATACACAAGATGGGGAAACTGAGGTTGACGGTGCTGC